GGCGGACTTGGTTCTATGGTCGGTCTTAAAGGGTTAATGTTGCTCTTTGTTACAGGATCCAGTTGTTTCCATTCACGCTGCTTTAAGGAGCGTAAACAACTATCACGCTATATTTCCTTATTTAATCAACATAAACCTGTTCATGTTACACATTTCCTGAAGCACTGAGGATAAACTGCAGGTGCCTCACATGTGGGGCTGAGGGGGGGTCCGGCTGGAGGTCCGGGTGGAGGTCTGACGGCGGCGGCGGCGCTTATCAGACTGCCCGCAGCTTCATCTTCATCAGGAGAAAACACCTCCATGTCCTCCAAAGGAGTCCAGCGGGGGTCCTGCTGTGGGGAGGAGGGGGAGGGCTCCAGGGTCACTGCCGGGGTGGGGGCGGGGACAATATGAGTCACACTCTCTCCTAACCCCCGCCCACTTCCTCCTCCTCCACCCCCGCCAACCTCTTTGACGTTCCAGACGTCGCTGCACCACTTCTGACCGAAGACTTTGTCCAGGATGGGAACCCAGTCCTGAGAGACAGAGAGGACGGGGGGGCGCTCCGGGACTGGGGGGGGAGAGGGGGAGGAAGAAGGTTAGATTACAGTCACGCCACACACCTGATCTGACTCACCTGTCACCTGTGACAGCCAATCACAACCAGCGCCGGTCAGAGTGCGACAGCTGATCACTCACCGTGTGTCTGCGGCGTCTCTTTGGGCGCAGTGACCACAGCGACCTCCTCACGGGCGTCCTCTGAGCCGCTCGGGGACACAGAGTCGTTCTCCGAGCCCCTCCTCCCCCTACCGCCGCCTTTCCCTTTGTCCCCGCCTCCTCGCTCAGCGCCCTTTCCCAGCCTCTTCTCCAGCAGCTGCTGCTCTCGCTCCATCTTGGTGATCTCCAGCAGCAGGTCGTCGAATGACGCCTCCACGATCTTCGTCAGCTCGCGCACGGCGAAGTCCAGGACCTGCTCCATGACGGACTTCAGCTGGTCTGTGGAACAGAGACGGGGGCGGGGCTAATTATTGGAGAGACTGGCTGTGAAATCACAGGTTGCAGCGCCCAGCAGGGCGGAGCTTCACACAACTAAACAACTATTTTCTTTGATTGATCGATTGATTGGCTGATTCTGTCACAGTGACGACTCATTAAAGCTGCTGCAGCCGAGCAGATGACGCGGATTCGTGGATACTTCAGTGACACTCTGTGAAACTCAGACTTTCACCAGCTGTCAAACATCGTCATCCTTTCTATCCACACACAGCAGTGTGACCTTTGACCTGTGGGGTGTGTATGAGGACGTTAGGAAGTGAACTGATGCTTTCTGACGCCGCCATCGCTGATATCCTGAACTCTGGCAGTGCATGACGGTGACCTGGTAATCTCGGCGTGGGGGGTGGGGCTCAGCAGCATGTTTGCGTGCTGCAGTCGACAGATGTGTGCATGCATGCGAGAGAGCGTCTTTTATCTCCTGCTCACATGTCCCTGCATGTGGACGCCGCTGCAGTGCAGAGAGAGGGAGTGTGTGGCGTGAAGACCTCAGCACAGCGGGCGCTCATCGTGGGGTTACTCCGGTTCAAACCATTTCCTGTGGGAATTTCAGGATAAAGTGGAGTCCCTCACACTCCTGACGTCTTTCCCGCTCGTGTGATAAATTAAACGTTTCTCATCCTTAAACGCGGCAGCTGCTGAACGGCGAGCGGACGTTTGCTCGTCAGACATTTTTCCAACCTGCTGTGCAGTGACATCATTCATGTAAACATCTGGAAAAAGTCATGTTACTGAATCAAAGCGCTCACAGTGTAAAACCTGCAAACACGACGTGAGCAGAGCAGAGTCTGAGCGAGCGTTCAGGAGAATCCTGCCGCAGGGACCTGACTGGAATGGCGAGTAAGGCGAGCACACCGTGCGGGGGTGGGTTCAGTTTCTGCATCCACGAGTCCACTGAGGTCCGACTTCGGCGTCATGGGGAATCTTCCACAGAGAAACACTGACTGGGGAGCATTTCAGAGCCGCGTGACATTTACGAGTTTAACCTCAGAGTGAACCAACTCGGACTCGGTCAGAGCGCAGGGCGCCAACAGACAACGTGGGGACACATTCAGCCTGAAACGAGCACGTAGGCGTGAGACGCCAGTCTGTAACGACCTCCTGACTCCAGCCGAGCCGCTTCCTGCAGGGTGATCATGACCCGACAGGACGGGCACCTGTGCGGTCATCACCTGTGTGGTCATCACCTATGCGGTCATCACTGAGATCGTCCCACCGGCCGAATCAGCTTCGTGCTGTGAAGTCTTTTCTCCGGCAGGCTCCTCCCACCTCCACAAATGAGGAACGCCACACTTGCGGACGCCCGTGGCCCGGAGCGGTCGTGCTCCGGCTGATGAATCTGACCCGACATCCATGAAACGTCACTGAGGCGTCACTCAAGTCACTGCGTCAGGTTGATAAGTCAGCATGTCCTCCCCCCTTTCTGCTGCGGTCTTCTGACTGCCCCCCTCCTCCTCACCAGCCCCCCTCCTCTCCTGCGGGGAGGGGGTGGCTTGTTTTACGATCCTCGGGCTGCACACCTCGCTTTTTATTTTCAGCCCTGCAGCGTTCACACTCGAGTTCCTCGACTTCTCCTCAGACGGGCGATTACACGCAAACGAGGCCGCTGAGTTCACGTTTCTCTGCAGGGTCGCTGCGTCCAGCTTCACCTGTATCAGACACATTAGAACCAATTGAAATGCTCCCCCAGCACGCCGAGTGTTCTGTCCAATCACCTGCAGGCGTCACCTTTTTTCATCAAAAAGATGACATCACACCTGCACGAGATAACACGTAGCACCGCCTCCAAACGCCACAGCCAGCTGCTCTCAGACTGGTCGCAGTGTTTCCATGGAAACCAGTTCGAGCCCGTGAAATACACGTCAAATCCAGCGAGCTTCCACAATGTCACAAAAAACACTAAAACACGTGGACTCGTTCACAAATCATCAAGTAAGTCGTGTCCACCGAGCACTGCAGGATCAGGGCTCAGCGGGCGCTCAGGTGTCCCACCACGCGCTGTTTTACGGTTTCCTGTTGAAGGCTGACGTGTTTTATTTGTTACAATCGAAAAAACAGGATCAACTCAAACGTCCAGGCGAGGTCAAAGTAAGTCGGCCTGGAAGGACGCGGAGGAGCGTCGGACACGTCGTTTGTCGTCCACCTGAGACCGAACACCGCGTCGGACGGCGTTATTGGTTGGAAGCTGATTGTTCACTCATGGATGACGTCATAATTACGTTGAATTTGTCAGGACTAAAGTGAAACAGTGTGGAGCACGAGGGCTGCTCACAGCGCCTCCTGCTGGCCAGCGGGCGTATTTGTTTGTTTGTTTTTGGAAAACGGGATTAATAGGAAGTGAAACGTGTGTGTGTGTGTGTCTGTGTTGTGTAACGGGTGCCTACCCACGACTCGTCCTCTCTGCTCCAGGCGGCGTGTGTCGGTGGGCACGCCAGGCCCTGTGCCCTGTCCCCCGGGCTGCTGCTCGGGTTTCGCCCGCCCGCTATCCGCCCTCTCCCCGGCTTTGTTCTTACCAGCCACCGGGGAGCCTCCTCCTCCTCCGTCGTCTGAAGCGGAGGCTCGGCCCCGTTTCTCCCGCGCCCGGAGCTGGAGCCCGAGCCGGCGGTTTTCCTGCTCCTTCACGGCCGTCTCCAGCAGGAGGCCGTTCAGACTGGAGCCCACCGTTTTGCTTATTTCCTGGACAGCGAGCTGAACGACCTGCTCGAGCACGGACTCCAGCTGGCCCTGGAAGAACGACATATACACGGCCCCGTTCATGTTTGCGCGCCCTGCGGTGAGAGGGCTCTCTCATTCTTCTGTGCCCGAGCCCCCAGCCCACCGCCTGCCCGAGTTCCCGACGGAAATCTGGGTTAAAATCGGCGGCGGGTCGCGGAGCTTCTCCAGCGGCTCTTCGGCGCTGCTGTGCGGCTGCTGCTGCTCTGTGAGTCGCGCGTGTTCAGCCGCTCCGGAGGAGGCCGGAAAGACCCGAGTAGAGGCGCAGCAGCATTTTCCCGCCCACATGTCTTGGCCCACGCTCGCGCCCTTGCAGTCAGTCACGCCATTTTGGCTGTGAGAAAATAACATCAGTCATTCCCAAACATCAGACTGCAGCCTGCAGCTGACCCGGGAAAAGCCTCAGCATCTGCTGCAGCTGCTCATAGATGTGTTCCAGCACACAAAAGCACCATTATTGATTAATGTGAATCCTAAACTCTGTGACCTTATACATTTAGTGGAGCCGCAGCACACACTGTATATAAAAGATGGCCACAGGCTACTGTTGCCGATGAGCTCCGTCCTTTGAAGCCTCGCCTCCGTCACCGAGCTGGATCTTGGAGCCGGAAGTGAGGGTGGAGTTATCAATTTATGCTAGCATGCTAGGTACAGTGTTGCCAACTTAGCGACTTTGTCGCTATATTTAGCGAGTTTTCAGACCCCCTTAGCGACTTTTTTTCTAAAAAGCGACTAGCGACAAATCTGGCGACTTTTTCTGGTGTTATTGGAGACTTATTTATGACGACTTTTTGACGTGAAAATGCGTATCGCTCTTACTCTCAACAGGCAGCGGTGCTGCCTTGGGCACCTCGCCCGTGCTAAAGCGCTCACGGGCGGAGGATAGTCCTCCCCCAGCTGCAGGAGACATTCACACCTATGCGTCCAAACTGCAAATAAACCACGCATGAGCGAAGCCGCTGCTCCCGCACTGACTGTAACGCAGTCAGTTCTTCTTTTACTGTTATGCTGTTTTGTGGATCACAAGGTTTAAAACTACTTATAAACACACACACACACAGTAACTCCTCCACAGTGCCTATTTCGGGTCACTTTTGCCGGTCGAAGCCTGGATAAAGGAGCAGGGTTGGAATTGTGACATTAAAAAACAATAATTGCTAAAAGAAATTTAATTTGTAGTTCTAAATAAATTCTAACTGCATTTAGGACGTTTTTTACTCACTTTATGTCTCTTCCACGATGTTATTTCTCTCTCCAACAATTATATTAGCATGACCAATTATGCAAATTAGGTGATGACGTCATTTAGCGACTTCTAGCGACTTTTAGGACAACCAATAGCGATTTTCCTTACTGAGGAGTTGGCAACACTGGCTAGGTGTGCAAGCTGCCTGATCCACAGGGAGCATCACACAGACATATGCTAATTAATGCTAGCATCCCAATGTTATACAAAGGCGGATTCAGGCTTCTGTATTTCTGGTCTTGCTTAGCATTCTGTGTTAGTGTGGTCTTCTCTCGCTGATTTAGAAGCGATATCAGGGAAAAATAAAAGGATAGGACTTCCTCTGCTCCTGCGTCCTCGCTCTCTGGTTTCTCAGGTCAAACATATTTGTCCCTCATGGTTTTCCAGTTTGTACGTTCCCAACAGCTTCATCAGTCTCTCTGTTCAAGTCACTTCAGGATTACTTATTAGCACCAAATCACAACAACAGTTGCCTGAAGTTGCTTTGGTGTTAGTGACTCCTCACGTTGAAGCTGTAATTGTGGTTCTCTGTGCTGATTGTTATTCACAGATAAACAGTGGGTGAAATGCTCCTGAGGAAGCGATGCTGCAGACCAACCGCAGTAGCTGCGGTCTGGGTCAACCTGATGTGTCATGAAATTATTCTGCAGGGTGCAGATGGGCGACCTCCGTGGGGCGTTCCCACCCGTTGCTGTTTGGCAGCTGGGATGGTGGGATAGGTCTCACCGTGTACTCCTCCACAAATAATAACCATGAAGACTGAAACTGCTGAGCAGTGCTAGCTTTGAAACGCTGCCATCTCTGAGTGTTGCACACCAACAGGAATTTTCCCGCCACATGCTCAGTAATCCATGTGGCGGGATTACTGAGCACATGGATGCTCTTCTAGTCTTCTGAGGGACACGCTCAGAAGAACAGGAAGTTGCTTCTGAGCGTGTCCGTCAGTGTCAGCTGACACATTATAAACAGCACAGCTGCAGAACTGAAACCAGCAGCACTGACTAACAATGAGCCAGCAGCTCGTTTTCATGGTGTTAACGTGCAAACTGTCCACTCATGCAGATCCACGCTCCGTGAGACAGCACAGAGCCTCACACCTGCAGTGTTACCATGGTGAAGTAGAGCACCTTTACACGACTGTTAAAGTTTATTCGTTAGACTCAAATCGACCTCTGAGAGGAAGCATCAAGACAAACACACACAGACACACACGCTCTGATGGATGCATCCGGGAAACTCTGGGTTCTGTCTCTTGCCTAAAGGTGCTTCGACATGCAGGTTGGAGGACGCAGGGAGTGAACCCCCAACCTCATGAGCCCCACCCCAAACATCTTAAATTGGGAGTCAGTAAAATCAGAGGAGCTCGATGCCTCTGTAGGTGTTCAGGCTGAGGTCGTGCCGCGGTTCCTGCTGTGTTCAGGAGCCTGGTTTCTGTCGGTTTTCTGAGCCACATGCGTCGCAGGTTCGCATTGGAAATGAGTCAGCCTTTGTTTGTGCAGTAAAAACAAGTCTTATGTAAGCTCACGAGCTCTGTACACAGAGCTGCCGTCCACCAGAGACACGCTCACTCCCATTGAAGAGCCATCTTTCTTTTCTGTCGACCAACGAAGCCACGTGCAAACACGTGTTTCACAGAGTTCATAAAGCTTTGACTCAGAGTCACCTGATCCAGGTGTGTTGCTGAGGTGTCTTTAACGTCAGAGATGGAAGAATCTTTGTTGTGTATCGATGTGTTAGATAACCTGGACTTTGATCCGATGTCGATATCATTTTCCCTGTTAAAGGCAGAAGCAGTGGATATTTGTGTGTTGAAGGGCTGGGAGGAGTGACTCACTTCACCGCTCACATCTGAGGCTCGGTTTGACTCCGACAGCTGACAGATTTTTACACTTAACACGGATTTGAAACAGAACAGACTCAGGATCAGATGCTTTCGTGACGGCCTGATGCAGATGGGTGTATTTAACTGTCATTGGCTGCTGGGAGACGTGATCTGTGTCTGCAGGTCTGGGTGAGGCCAGCTCCCGCAGGCGGGCCCTGCTCTGGTGTCAGGGACCTGCAGGGATGCTGCTTTTGCGCCTTTATTTCGGGATTACGTCACTTACAACATAAGTCCCCCCTCTTCCCCACCTCTCTCTCTGATTGAGCGCATGCCGCAGAGAAGCGACACGCCCCCTAAAGTCTCGTGCGGCTCTTCTCGAGTTACTACGGCAATCACGTAAAATCGGTGCTTGAGAAGAGGGCGGGGCCTTCCCGTCGATCATCTGCGGCTTTGTTGTCGTGAGAAGCCGAGCTGCACCTGTCCCCCTCCCGCAGCTCTCCGTCCTACCGACCCGGCCTCCAGGAGCTCCAGGCCGCCGCGGGGCTCCCCTCCGCCGGCAGCAGAGGCAGGGGCGGCTCGGTTGGTGAGACTGAGAACCGCGGGAAGTGGTTTCATCATTTCCTCCTTATTTGTGTTGTTTACCGCGTCACTTACACAAAGGAGGAAAAGGCCGCGAGCGGCTTTAATGTCGGAGCTTCAGTTGAACCTGAGCAGGAAGAAGCACTTTCACTTCCGGCCTCAGATCCACGAAAACGCTCTTAAACACGTCGCGAGCCCCATCGTAGCAGAGCCACAGTATGGAAGCTCATTCGTGACGAGATTTTTCGAGCGTAAGAAAAAGTATATTTTTTAATTAATTCTTAAGTTACTGTTAAAAAATGCTGCTTCAGTCTAACTGACGGGGGAAGTCAAAATTAGTTGTTTTTTTTTAAATTAAACTTTTAAAATTAGAATTATGGAAGAAATAAAGTGAAACGGCAAATTTTTAAACAGTTTCTTTAACTTGTTTTTGATAATAGTTAATTCTGAATCTTAACATAAATAATAATTAAAACAATTTAATTTATGTTAAATTTGTTTTGGAATACAAACATCAGCACCATAAACAGACTTTAACTTAAAACTAGCCTCACGAATTCAAAGCAGGGCTTAAAGTCACAATTAATTAACCGAAATTCAAATTTTTTAATTCAAAATTTTAGAGATAAAAAGAAATGATACGTTTTTATTCCACTGATTGTGTTTTAAGTCTGAATTAACAGTTAGTCTATGAAACTATAAACTTTAACACAGAAACATGGAGGTTGTTTCTGAGCTGCTGGTTTCTTCTTCACTCTGAGACCACAGAAACCTCCTCAGATCGCTGGTGGACGATGGCGCTCACCAATAATTCATAAGTCCTTCTCAAAACAAACCCATCTGCTGCTTTCTCCTGTGATGGGAACAAAAAATCAATTTCCTCTTTGTCAGCATAATGCCAGCTGTGACAGATGTGCTTCATCTGTTACGCTTGTGTTTGTGCAGGAGGCAAGCACGCCAGCTCCGCCTGCAGACACAGACAGAGGGAGAATTAACCCTCCGACCGTCAGACTTTAGCTTCATTAAAGCCACAAGCGTCAGACTTCAGGAGGCGGAGCCTCGTCAGATTTATTCCTAACAAACTGAGAATGGAAGTTAGAATTAAAGAACGCGCCCACCAACACTTCACGGTCCACGTAATATTCCCACTTTTTCCTGCCTTTGAGTTTAGTTACTTCCTGAAGTATCTGCAGCCTAATGAGAGTGGGTTTAATGAGGGAAGGACACAAGGAGGAAAAGAAGGAAGAAAAAGAGAAACAAGGATAAGAAAAAGGAACAACGGAAATTAAGGATTAAGGGAAAGAAGTTAGAAAACAGGAAAAGAAGGAAGAATTAGGGAGGAAAGAAAGGAGTAAAAGTAGAAAGGAAGTGAGAAAAAGGGGAAGGAAAGAGACGGCACGAATGAAAGAAGGAAGAAAGAAAGGAGAAGGAAAGGACAGATGTAGGGACGGAAGGAGAGAAGAAACGTTAGCAAAGAAGAAGAAAAAGGACAGAAAGCAGAATTAAAGAAGGAAGGAATCAAGAAAGGAGAAAAAGAAAGGAAGGGCAGGAAGAAGGAAGGACAGATGAAAAGCACGAGAGAAAGAAGGAAGCAAAAGAAGGACAGTAAATAGACATAAGTAGGAAACTTTGGCACTATTGACACATTTCTTTCCTTTGTTACTGAATAAGGAGCTTCAGTGCTTCTTTCATTACCTCCTTAGGGTAGGTAACACTGGAGCATCCTTCATGAAAAGAGAGGACACAATGACATCCCATAATTCATAGTGTA